GCGCTGGCTGAAGCAGAGGCGCAACCTCTGCGGAGCCCCCGCAGAACACCCGAACCGATTTTCTTTATGTTTTTCTGCTCCGCACCTATTCCGCGCGTGTTCTGCGGATGTTCCGCGAGGGTTTTGCGGGGCTTTTCCACGGGGGGTTCCATGGGGGCTCCGTGGCGCGGAGGCCACCGCGGAGCATTGCGCGGAACACCCACAGAACAGGCGCGGAACCCACGCGGAACCCCCACAGAACAGGCGCGGAACCCATGCGGAACCCCCGCGGAACAGGCGCAAAACCCTCGCAGAACGGGCGCGGAACGCGCTCACACGCACAAGGCGCACGAATGTGCGCCCACTTGCGCAGCGGTGCTCGGAGTGACTCCAAGCATCGTTCAAGATTTGGCGTGCGCTCGCTGATCAGCTGGTCAGCTGAAGTTCACTTCGGTACACAGGCCGTGTCAAATAGATGAAACTGCTGTGACCCTTTCAACATATACATTACAACTGTTATAGCATAAATATTTCTTAGATAGATGAGAGCACGTGATGAAACACAGATTTGGCACTGGCCACATCGATTCCCAACGAAACTCATGACAGCACCTCACAAACCTGTTTGACGCTTGGAGTGCGCAAAGTGTGTGGTGGAACGGGATTTCGCAGTGAATTTTCACAACAACCACATGTTAAAAACAGTCCAAGTGCTGCAAGAACATACAAACATGTGTTTTTCAAGGTGCGCAGGTTGAACGAAGACGCCCCCCTGCGCACCACCCCACGCACCACTTTTCAAGGGTCACATTGACCCATTTCTTGGCACTTCTTCGCTCTACAATTGACCCCTCAATTCAGGGCACAGCGTCTCTATAAAATGATGGCATCGACGTCATTTTGTAGAGAATTAGATTTTTGATTTGTCGACAAAATGAGGCGCGCGACGTCATTTTGTAGACAGCGTTGATGAAAGCCTCCAAAATGACCCCTGCTACTAGGCTGGAGGCCAGTTGCTATTAAGCTGGAAGACATTGCTATTAGGCTGGAGGCCATTGCTATTAGGCTGGAGGCCGTTGGTATATAGGCTGGAGACCATTGCCCTCAGGCTTGGGCCCATGGCTATTAGGTTGGATATTCTGGAGGTCGTCACGAAAAGTCGACTTTAGACCACCAAAGCACGAAGTTTCCCTGCGCCTGCCACGAAAAGTGATCATCAATAATCCCGACCGAGTACGCATTAAAAAAGCATCCCCAATTTAAGAAACAACATCCGAAGCCCTAAATTCGGCCTATATTTGTCGTTTTTAAACTATAGCAACTACCGCCCTTTCAAGCTACTAAACTACCAACATGGTCGATTTTGGTGGTAGTTTCTTTTATTGGGGTCTAAAAACAACCGTCACTGCCCACATCTGTCCGCCCTGTGTATCCACCATGACACGCCGCGTTTACATCAGCAAGTTTTCCTTCCTCCAATGGCACGGACTCACGCAAACGCACTTGCCACCGAGGCCGTGCAAAACTGCACGGCACAGCGACATCACCTTTCGAAAGCTTTGGTTGTTAGTCTAATGAAGAATCAGTATTCTAATAAAGGTTTTTGTAGGGAAAAGCAAGACTTCGATCTGGAGGTTTATTGGATTTTTCCCCAGATAGCGAAGCTATGGGGTTCTTACTTCAAATAATAGTGAGTTGCCCGTGCGCGCTTTCGAGAAAGGTTGCTGGTGCTGGGCGCCGGTGCTGGTGCTGGTGCTGTGAGCTGGCTGCGCACGTGGTGGAGACAGGTTGCTGGTGCCGGTGCTGGTGCTGGGTGCCGGGCGCTGGCGCCGGTGCTGGTGCTGGTTCTGTGAGCTGGCTGTGCACGTGGTGGAGACAGGTTGCTGGTGCTGGTGCCGGGCGCAGGTGCTGGTGCTGGTGCTGTGAGTTGGCTGTGCGCGTGGTGGAGACAGGTTGCTGGCGCTGGTGCCAGGTGCTGGTGCTGGGCGCCAGGTGCCGGTGCTGGTGCTGTGAGCTGGGTGTGCACGTGGTGGAGACAGGTTGCTAGTGCCGGGCGGGTGCCGGTGCTGGTGCTGGTGCACGTGGTGGAGACAGGTTGCTGGTGCCGGTGCTGGTGCGCCGGTGCTGGTGCCGGTGCTGTGAGCTGGCTGCGCACGTGGTGGAGACAGGTTGCTGGTGCTGGCGCCGGGCGCCGGTGCTGGTGCTGTGAGCTGGCTGCGCACGTGGCGGAGACAGGTTGCTGGTGCTGGTGCCAGGTGCTGTGAGGCTGGCGCTGGTGCCGGGTGCCGGTGCTGGTTCTGGTGCCGGCGCTGGTGTTGTGCACGTGGTGGAGACAGGTTGCTGGTGCTGGTGTCGGGCGGTTCTTGCTTCAAATAACAATGAGCTGCCTGCGCGCGCTTTCGAGACAGGTCGCCGGTGCTGGTGGGCGTTGGAAACAGGGCGCTGGTGCTGGGCGCCGGTGCCGTGGTGGAGACACGGTGCCGGTGCTGGGCGCTGGCAGTGCGCATGGTAGAGACAGCGGGCGCCGGCGCCGGTGCTGTGAGCTGGCAGTGTGCGCGGTGGAGACTGGGCGCCGGTGCTGGGCGCTGGCTGCGCGCGTGGTGGAGACAGGGTGCCGGGCGCTGGTGCTTGGTGCGCTGGTGCTGGGCGCCGTAAGCTGGTGCGCCGGTACTCGGCGCTGGTGCCCGCTTCTGACAGTGAAGTGATAACAACCGCCGCTTCTGACAGTGAAGGGTAACAAACCGCCGCTTGCAGCAGTGCGACCAAACAATGAAGTGCAAGCAGTCATGGGCAACATGAACTTATGCACGCAACATCATACGGTGTTGTCGCTTGAGCGTTCTTTGTCTATTAGCGCTGTGGGGTATTTACACCCTTCAGGTTCTGTTTTGGCTGACAGCTGTGTCAAGGGCTGTACTGTTTGCGCGCATACTTTTGTACGTATAATGTTCTATGCGTCAGGCTCTCGACCGACCATTGTACCAGCATGTTTCAGCATGCTACATACACACACACACACACACACACTAGTCGTGCTGGATACTGCTTGGCCTTGGGCGAGTGAAGCCTACGGGCTTTGCCGATTGCGCGCATGCTTTTGCGCGCATAAACTTCTACGCGCAAGAGCAGATCGTTGCTTCAAGCATGCTACAAAGTCAATAGTGGCGCTGGATACTGCCTGGCCTTGGGCCAATGACACTTAATTACGGGCTTTGCTGTTTGCGCGCGTACTTTTGTGCGCATAAACTTATACGCGCAAGATCATACGTTGTTATTCCCCAAGTAGGGATAGCTATGGGAAACTGCTGCAAATAAGAATGAGCTGGCTGCGCGCGCTTTCAAAGGGTGTCGGTGCTGGTGTTGTGGTCCTGGGTGCTGGCTGTGAGCTGGCTGAGCGCGCGTTTAAGACGGGCGGCGGCGCTGGTCGGGTGCTGGTGTCAGCAAATACTAGTAGTGCGAGGTGTCGTAAGCTGGCTGCGCAGGCTGCGTACATTCTTGTTGCAGCCAGTCGCATGTCAACAGGTCGTGGGATTCTGCCTAGCTATCTGGGTCTATGCTGGTGTAATTGATACGAGTTTAATAAGGATTTTAAATAAAATCTTTCTGGATGACTTTTTGCTTTTGAAGCTCTTCCCAGGTGAACCTATTTTCCCCCCCCGATTTCAGGGACCCCCTATCAAAAAAAGTGCGACCGAGTTTCTCTTAATAGGGGGAGGGGGGCCATGTTTTAATAGGTAGACAAAAAATGTGCATGGCACCACAATGAGAGCGCACCTCCATCAAGCACCGTCCCGCGGCCAGCGCTTCGTGCTTGGAGATCTCAGAACGAAACTTTTCTGCGAGCCTGCGCTGCCAAAACGCACGGGCCCAGAGCGTACCCTGATCGAAACCGGGCTTTTACGCTCAGTGTGGACACACTGTTTAGGAAAATGCATACATGCCTGCTTGGCTTCGTGTTGCACATACATGAGCCATTTTTTTGCTCTTTTTTGAACCGATGCGCGACCCAAAAATACATGCCCTGGTCCCGTTTGTGCTTGCAGTTGTAGCTTGTTTGCACATGCGGGGGATAGGCGTGAAGCAAATTTTGCTTGCTGCGTGCTTGGTGTTTGGCGAACGCAGTCCGCAGTGTGGACCGGCTGGAACTTGCTACTCCCCAGAAAGGATTTGTCGCCTCGTAAAATTTTGTTATGTCGTGTTCGAAGACAAACAAGTCGACAACAAGCTGTTGTTTGCAGAAAGCACCTAGGACCTAGGACCTAGCCTTGCTCCAGAAGTATGCTGTTGTGTATGGCATTTGAAGCTCGTGCCAAGCAAGGGATGCGCTTGATTGGATGCTAGAGTGTGCAGCTACAAAGAAAGGCATGTCAAGGTGTCAGGTGCCAGTATTCTATTGTACAAACGCAGGTACTTGTAAAGGTGCAAAGCTTTCATGCTGCACCCCCAAAGAACTGCAGCTCTCAGTCTCTTTTTGTTCTCTCGCAACCAGCAAACGATAGCGAACGTTTGACTTTGCCACTGGAGTTATTGTCCATTGTCCCCCGAGGACAACTCATCTCCACCAAAAGGTTCTTGCATCCTTCCGAGCCGAACTGAACACTCTCAGAACTCTTCGTCGTCGTCTTTAGGCTTCTCGCTTGCTGGAGCTGGAGTGGCCTCAATCTCATTTCAACTTGACGCTGCTCCTGGATTTCAATAAACTGGGTCGATGGACTAAGGCTCAAAACTGGGGCAATTAAGGTGTGCACATCATTTTTTTTGCTCGGAGTACCAGAGTCTGCCAGTTGTGACTCCTCATGCGTTTGGGAAGTACCAGCACAAATATAAGACCGTGATTCTTCAGCCAACAGCTCTTCATGAGCAGGAGTGAGAAACACAGCCTTCCCCTCCGACGATGCTTTGGCTCCACTTTTGATTTCTTGCTCTTCCTGGCATCGGTACTAGGAACAAGGACGCTACTAGGGGTCTCCTGGCATCGCTACTAGGAGCAAGGACACTACTAGTAGTTTCTGGCCTTACTACTAGCAACAAGAAGCTACTAAAATGCGTCGTTGCAGCTGTCTCTTCTTATCAGCCTCCTCTTTGGCTTTCAGGAAGAACGGAAGGATGTAGAAAGACCATGCCGGACTACATATGGCCTTCACCGCACAATGCGGACATGGCATGCAAACAGAGTAGTTTCATTTTCTGGTTAACGAATGTGGGCAAGTGGCTGCCAACGACCACATGCACACAACATCGATCACTCGCTCTGCTTGCTTGTACTGGCGTCCAGACAACCTTAAGTTGATCAACGCCCACAAATCAATGCCAGCACCCATTTGCATTTGCATCTGCACCAGGGAACCGGATTGCCATGTAGAAGACCCGCTGCCAAGTCAGCCCTATGAACAGCTCGCAGAAGATAGCTGTTGATCGCACCGATGGACTGCCTTCGCAGTTGTCGCTGGTCAGCCGAAAGCAAATTGGAATGAGTCAATCAAAAATGATGAAATAGTTTTTTTGCCCTCCTTGGTAAGCGGTGGCATATCATAACACACACTTCTTGTTACATAAAGGTGTTTGCAGAAATAGAAGCATAAGAGTGCTCACCATGCACCTGTCCGGTCAGCAATGAAGTCAATAATCCGCATGATTGCAAACATAAAGACCTTGGCACTCGCCACTAATAAGAAGAGCATTACTACTAGTAGCAAGGACGCTACTAGTAGCGATGCACCTGTTACTTGTACGACCCTAACACTGGGAGAGACAGCAGGAAGCTGAGGCACATCACTGGACTGAGACTCACGGAGACAAATATATAATACAAACAAACTGGACTTGATTGGAGACCGTTACAATCATACCACGTGGTTGATAAAATTAGTGGGCAATAATTGTGGAAGACTTGTAGAAGTCTTTATCACACTATCAGAATTTCTGAACACTTGACCAAACACCCAACTTTTCAAGAAACATATCATATAAGTGTGTAATCTCGTTGAATGTCATTGAAACTGAAAAAAAACTAAGTTCACCACGGAAGAGCAAATTGCCAGTAGAATGCTGGCGTTGATATCAGCTGCCTGCCACAAAACTGCACCCGAACCACGGCTTACTTAGTGTTGAACTTCAACAATGGGCTTGAAACAGGTGAATGCATTGATCAATGCATGCAAAGCCTGTCCACCAAATCCGCTGGCATTGGTATAGTACAGAAACTCCCACTCCAAGGTGTAAAGTGACATCCAAGCACAAAACATTGCCCTGGCACAGAAAGCCACAAGCGATATTCAAGCAACCATCAAAAGGTAGGGCTGTTCTTGGGTTCCAACATGATTGATGTTGTCATTTGGGAGAAACGGCGACTGGTCCAGCTCCTGCCAAAACAACAAGTGATACTGCGAGGAATGCCCTGGCTTAATTTGTAAAAGTAATCAATCAAACAGCTTCTGGACAAGCTAGAACGGCATGCTCAGTGTGAACTGCCGCTTCGCCTGCTACATTCCAGGCTTGTGGGGGGTATCTGAAATCCGCTATCTCGCATAACAAGAAGCTACTAGTAACAAGTGCATCGCTACTAGTAACAAGTGCCTTACTAGTAGTAACAAGAAGCTACTAGTCATTCACTCGGGATGCTCCTAAACATTACAACCATTACCCACCCCGTCCTTTCAGGAGCTCCAAGTCGGTGGACCAAACCAATAACAATCTTAGCATATCTTGGCTTCAGTAAACCAATGAGGTCTTTAGGCCCCAAGCTTGTTAAGCCTTTCTTCTGAGCTCCCAACAAAACCAACCAGAACTGCAGTGCCCGTCCACAAAGCAAGCAAACCAGAATGCGCTCCAGTCTGTCCTGCTCGGAAACTCGTCATTTTTAGCTAATTTCGCTGGAAATCAGGCAGCCTGGTGGTTGACCATAGGCACCTGTCGGGATCCTGGAAGAGCTCAACACTGCCAAGAACCAAATGGCACTTCCAATTTTGAGGCGTTTGCCCAGAGGTTGCAAATCTCGTCCACATTGACAAAGTCAGGCCGAGAATGTATCCTGCAAACGCTGAACTAGCAACCACTCAGACCCTTAGGCCCTAGCCCCACCATGAACACCAACACCAAGAAAAACACATCAAACAAATACAGCGACCCATGACTTGTTCGATGTTGTTTGTAAACTCTGATGTGCGAGAGCAGCTTTTCTTCGGTTTGTTTGTCTCTCCTTTGTGTTGTTTTGGGCCGATTTGCAGCATCCAAAGCTTTGACTTTGCGGGGTTTGTGTTGAACACAATCCAATACCAACAACAAAATCAACAAATAATAACAGTAGCTCAAGGCATCAAGGAGGTAGCATGGGCATGACAGAAAATACACTCAGCCAAAACCTTTCAAGGGGTCGGGTTGGGGTAGCGGGTAGCCATTCAATGAAGGTTGTGAGAAAGTCGCAGGTTGGGCCAAAGCACCACTGGGTGTGATCAGGTGTCTTCGGCACTTCCAGCGTTAGAACTAAGAATCTCCTTCCAATGCGCGAACTTCTCATGTCATTGGCGTCAAGGGTCCTGCATAAGTTGTCTCCGCAACTTGCCAAGAATCTGCCCACTTCTCCTTCATCTCCTGCCCAACGCCAAACACACTTTGATCAGCTGACCCCGCTGACCCCTTACAACCAGCATTGTACATACCCTACCCAACAAGAACCCAGAAACACAATGTTCCATGATAACACTTGTGGCGTGTGCCAAATTCGCCACTATGCCCGGGGCATTTAATTTTCCTTCACAGTGTCGCTAAAAATTTTTGACAAGACATGACTCACTCTTGGTCATCAGTCCCGGTCAGTTGAAGCTGCAAGGGCCTCAAATCGGCGCGACACAGCTATCAAGCACGTCGTCCTTGTGAAGACACATGTACGTTTGAGTGAAAAGGCATAATGTCCGCCGTCGATTAATCAACTACCCTTTAATCACAGGAAATTTGGTGAACGAAACTTCCGTGTTACGGACATTCAAGAACTGTTCATACACCACTCATCATACACCACTGATCATACACCACTCATCAATACACCACTCATCATACACCACTCATCAATACACCACTCATCAATACACCACTCATCAAGACACCACTCATCATACACCACTCATCAGACACCACTCATCATACACCACTCATCATACACCACTCATCATACACCACTCATCATACACCACTCATCAGACACCACTCATCAGACACCACTCATCATACACCACTCATCATACACCACTCATCATACACCACTCATAATGCACCACTCATCATGCACCACTCATCATGCACCACTCATCATGCACCACTCATCATACACCACTCATCAGACACCACTCATCAATACACCACTCATCATACACCACTCATCAGACACCACTCATCATACACCACTCATCATCCAGTTAGCTCTAGCTCCAGTTAGCATCATGCGCAGATTTCGTGGCAGGCACGGCACTTTGCGAACCCTCATTCGCAGATTTCGTAGCAGGCGCAGCGCTTTGTGAACCTCCCTGTGCAGATTTCGTGGCAGGCGCAGCACTTTGTGAACCTCCATGCGCAGATTTCGTGGCAGGCACAGCGCTTTGTGAACCTCCATGCGCAGATTTCGTGGCAGGCACAGCACTTTGCGAACCTCCATGCGCAGATTTCGTGGCAGGCGCAGCACTTTGTGAAGCTCCATGTGCAGATTTCGTGGCAGGCACATCACTTTGTGAAGCTTGAGGTGCAGATTTCGTGGCAGGGCAATACAAAATACATTTTCGAGAGATAGCGGCCGCGCGAAATGCTGCGTTTTTCAATAGAAAGGGTGGCTCCGATGCTGGCCAGTCGAGCTTTGCGGAACGATGTGCGCGAGACGGTCTCGGGTCATGGTCGGATCATTCTCGGATCATGGGCGGAATCGTCCCTCCATTGCGATTAAAGTTTTCACTTATTTCTTGAAGCGCAGATGTCGTGGCAGGCGCAGAATTTGTGAACCTCCACGCGCAGATTTCGTGGCAGGTGCAGCACTTTGTGCGCGCAGATTTCGCGGTAGGCGCACCACTTTGTGAACCTCGATGCGCAGATTTCATGGCAGGCGCAGCACTTTGTGAACCTCCATGCGCAGATTTCGTGGCAGGCGCAGCGCTGTGTGAACGTCCATGTGCAGATTTCGTGGCAGGCGCAGCGCTTTGCGAACCTCCATGCGCAGATTTCGTGGCAGGCACAGCGCTTTGTGAAGCTTGAGGTGCAGGTTTCGTGGCGGGCGCAATACAAAATACGTTTTTGGAGAGATAGCGGACGAACGAAATGCCACGTTTTTCAATAGAATGGGTGGCTGCTGGCCAGTCAAGCTTTGCGGAACGATGTGTGCGAGACGGTCTCGGGTCATGGTCGGATCATTCTCGGATCATGGGCGGAATCGTCCCTCCATTGTGATTAGAATTAGAGTCTTCACTTGTTTCTTGAAGTGCAGATGTCGTGGCAGGCACCCTCCATGCGCAGATTTCATGGCAGGTACAGCACTTTGTGAACCTCGATGCGCAGATTTCGTGGCAAGCACACCGCTTTGTGAACCTCCATGTGCAGATTTCGTGGGAGGGACAGCGCTGAGTGAACCTCCATGTGCAGATTTCGTGGCAGGCACGGCACTTTGCGAACCCTCATTCGCAGATTTCGTGGCAGGCGCAGCGCTTTGTGAACCTCCACGCGCAGATTTCGTGGCAGGCGCAGCACTTTGTGAACCTCCATGCGCAGATTTCGTGGCAGGCACAGCGCTTTGTGAACCTCCATGTGCAGATTTCGTGGCAGGCGCAGCACTTTGTGAACCTCCATGCGCAGATTTCGTAGCAGGCACAGCACTTTGTGAGCCTCGATGTGCAGATTTCGTGGCAGGCGCAGCACTTTGTGAACCTCCATGTGCAGATTTCGTGGCAGGCGCAGTACTTTAATTTGTAAACCTCCATGCGCAGATTCCGTGGCAGGCACAGCGCTTTGTGAACTTCCATGTGCAGATTTCGTGGCAGGCGCAGCATCTGTGGAGCTGGAAGCTGAGAACTGGCGACTTTGTAGTGCAACTTTTGTACGCGGAGTACGCGCGGAGCTGGAAGATGAGAACTGACGACTTTGTAGTAGAACTTGAGTGCGCGGAGTATCTGACTGGCGAGCTGGAAGATGAGAACTGGCGGCTTTCTAGTACAACTTTAGTACGCGGAGTATGTGCGGAGCTGGAAGATGAGAACTGACGACTTTGTAGTGCAACTTGAGTACGCGGAGTATCTGGCGAGCTGGAAGACGAGAACTGGCGACTTTCTAGTACAACTTTAGCGCGCGGAGTATCTGGGGAGCTGGAAGATGAGAACTGGCGACTTTGTAGTACA